ATGAAATAGCTCCAGAAGAGAAGGTTCCTGTAGTTTAAAAAAAAAAAAAAAAGAAAAATTCTACAGCTAAAATTCGTTAAGGTTCCTTCTCCTTTACATATTTAACTCTGTAAGCCAGCAGCAGCAAAGGAAAACAGCTGCAGACCGTGCTGTAGGTCAGAGCCCAAAGATGTCCCCAAGCTGTAACAGGCTGGTGTACTTACGGGGAGTTTGGTGAAGGCCGGGTTGGTGACATGCTTCCCAAAGGCATCTTCCTGGAACTGCAGAAGCTGCACCACCAGCCCAGCCAGCGTTTTATTGGTAGGAGCATCCGCGTGAACATACTGCAAGAGAAAGACAGGTGCTCAGCAACTGGACGGCGTTGGGGAGAGAATGCTGGCTTGCTCCCTAGCTCTGACAGCACTGAGCGCTAGCACTGTGTGGGACAGACAGCCGTCCGAAGCGTGGTCTCTGCAGTAAAGAGCTTACAATAACAAACATGTGTACTTAAACATGGTTGAGCCAGCCAGATGGCATGGTGGGTAAGGCAGCTGGATCCCACCTGGCCAACTGTGCAGTTCAAGTCCCAAACCAGGTGGCTTAAAAACCACTCTGGGCACAAGCACTTGTGCCCAAAATCACAAGAGGAGAATGGAAAAGGGACTGAGGAGTGGCCATTTCCCTCTGGGGTGATTTCTCACTTTCTCTCTCTCTTCAAGTACATGGGCCCTATAGCAAACCAAAAAAAGAAGGGTTAAGAGGGCCAGCCTGTGGCACAGTGGTTTAAGTGGCTGGATCCCACACAGCCAACCAAACAGTTCAAGTCTCAGAACCAGAGGCTTGAGAAAGACACTGGGTGCATGTGTGTGCATGCCGGAAATCCCAAAAGGAGGTGGAGGAGAAGGGACTGCGGCATGATTACACGCCATGGAGGGCATTTTCAGTTTCTCTCCAGCAAGCACATGCATCCTCGGCAACTTTTTTTTTTCTTTAAATGGCTAAGACAGTAAGTTTTATTTATATATGTTTTTAAAGTCTGTTTCTTTCTTTCTTTCTTTCTTTCTTTCTTTCTTTTAAGAATTATTTAACTTTATTTATTTTAATTTGACCAAAGAGAGAGAGAGGATAGAAAGTGAGAAAGGAAACGGCCAGGTCCGGGATTTGAACCGTGGTTGGCCGTGTGGGAGTTCAGCACCCTTAAACATGACGCCACCTGTCAGTCCCTACTTACGCACTTTTGACCCAAAATAAGGGGGGGATGAGGACTAGTAGATGGTATAATGGTTGTCGCTGGACTGCCACATGGTAGACCATGGTTTGAATTCCAGACCCAGAGGTTTAAAACACAGCGGGTGCATGTGTGCCCACCCCGCGAGGAGAATGGAGAAGGGATTGTGGTGTGTTCAACAGCCCTGGGGGCTGATTTCTCCCTTTCTGTCTCTGTCTCCCCGGTGAGCACGCATCCCCCATAGCAAAAATGTCTCTCTAAAAAAATAAAGTAAAACCTGGAGCCTCAAGTCCTCCTTGTGAAACAGGGCAAATGCTGTCTGTCTTTCAGAGCTGCAATGAGGGTTTCGGTTTGAAGTGTCTGGATGTGGCAGCTCAGCTGTTCACCAAGTGCACAGATAAAGCCATCAGTAAAAGTCAGACTAGCAAAGACATTTATATATACAGTCACCCAGCTTTATCCTCTAGCTGCTCTGAAAATACAGTATTAAATGCAATAAAAACGTTTATTTAAAAGCCACAAATGGGAGCTGGCAGGTGGCATGGTGATTAAATGCTGGACTCCCACATGGCCGATCATGGTTCGAGTCTTGAACCTGGCAACTTGCTTTCTCTCTGTCTCTCTCTGCATTTTTCTGGTCAAGTTAAAACAAATTATAATAATAGAGTTAAATAATTATTTACTTATTTTTATTTATTCTTTCTTTTCTTTTTCTTTTTTTAATTTGACCATAGAGAAACAGAGAGAGAGAAAGAGGAAAAGTGAGAAGGAAAGCCACCAGGTCCAGGATTTGAACTGCGGTCGGCCATGTGGAAGTGTCCAGTGCCTGCCTTAACAACTATGTCACCTGCTGGTTCCCCTAAATAACTAACTCTTAAAAAAAATAAATAAGAAACCAGAAATATAGGGCCAGTTTGGGGTATAGAGGTTAAAGCAGCTGGCTCCTACATGGGAAACTTCACAGTTCCAGTCCCAGACCCACTGGCTTGAAAAACATGCTGGGTACATGTGCACGCATACCCAAAATCCCCAAAGAAGAATGGAGAAGGGACCATGGCATGGTCATACCCCTGAAGGGTGACTTCTCAACCACCTCCTGCCAGTGCCCCTACCCTATAGCACTTAAAAAGCAAAAAAGGCAGGCCGGCAGGTGGCATGGCTGCTACAGTGCTGGATTCCCACATGGCCAACCATGGTTTGACTCCTGGACCTGGAGGCTTGCTTTCCTACTTTCCCTTTCTCTCTTTCTTCTCTCTCTGGTCAAGTTAAACAAATAATGATGATAATAAATGAAATAAAATAATTCTTAAAAAAAAAAAGGCAAGAGATTAGAGGATAGCATAATGGTTATGTTGCTGGACTCACATGTAGTCAACTGCGGTTTGAGTCCTGGACCCGGTCCCTTGAAACACACTGGGCGCCTGTGTGCGCCCAAGATCCCAGGAGGAGAATGAAGAAGGACTGTAGCATGAGGGACCAGCAGGTGGTGTGGTGGTTAAGACACTGGACTCCCACATGGCTGAGCTCGGTTTTGGTCCTGGACCTGGTGGCTTGCTTTCTCACTTCCTCTCTCTCTCTCTCTCTGACCAAACTGTGTCCTTCTCGGGTCAAACTAAAATAAATGAATAAATAAAATTACCAAAGTCTTATAAAGAAACCTATTGACGTGTACACCAAGTAGAAATTTGAATTGGCCTTCAGAAAGTTAGTGGAAAAACACATATTATGGGAAAAACGCATGATTTTTTCCCCACCAAATTAAATGAATACGTAAATTCCATTTTTCCATGAACTTTTGAAGCGCCATCTGTGTGTTGTGTAGACAAGAACGAAAGAACCTTCTGATTAACCCACTCCAGGAGACTGAAAGCCTAAGGAATACACAATTCTGAACGTGAAGAGGCAAAGCCCTGAGAGGTCACCCTAACTACTTAACTACTTGTCTTTAATGCCTCAGGGACACCAAGTGGGGGGGGGGCGCGCAAGTGGCCTCAGCACTTCCCCACCCTCCCCCACACAGCTTTGAAGTCAGCCCAAACCATGGCACTGAGAGCTCCAGGCAGAAATAACAATTTTTGCCTTTTCTCTTCCCCTTTTGATAGTCAAAAGATTAGGCCTCCTCAGTATTTGTTCTTTGTTAAAGCTTCACTTTAAGAGCTAAAGCACTGGCTAAAGGGAATATGATTTCAAAAGAAGAAATTAACAAATACTCCCGTAACACGTTCAGTCCCCTTGGCTGTGGGAAGCTCTCCTGCCTACACAAAGGGGGCCGATGGACCGCTGTGCAAGAGGGCAATGCCGGTCTGCTCACGGGAGACAGAAAAATGCAGTCTCTAGTGACTTCAGAGGGGAGACGTCAACGCTTCTATTAATAAAAACAGGACTGTCTTTCACTCCTCCAACTCCAGATAACTCACTGTCTCCAAGTCCCACAGAGGAACCCAAGATCCCTACCCAGGGCCCGAACTGCCCACCGCCCAGACGTTCCACGAGCCGTGGATCCCAAACGAACAGGTTCCTGGGCCAGTTCACCTTCCCACTCAACAAATATTTGCTAAGCAACTACTGAGCGCGCTGTTCCCGGACACGCTGCATTTGCGGAACAGGCGGGACAGAGGCAGAGCCCCGGTGCTGCGGCCCTCCACGCGGGATGCAGCACGAGGACAGCGCGCCCGGCCTGCCACCACCCACCACCGACGGGGCTGCGGCCCGGCCGGACGCTCTACCCCGGGAGAGGCCTCAAAGGCTTTGCAGCTGTTGGGAACCAGGGGTGAAGTCCCAGCTCTGAAAACCGCCGACTCTGCGGCGTAACTTCCACTCCGGAGTAGAGAAGCGTCCGTGGGGACAGTTTCAACAAGTGGCGACCAGCACGCCGCGCGGAGGCAGGGTCCGAGCGGGGGCCTGGAGGCGGCCCCGGGGCACGTTACCAAGCTCCGGGACTCGCCCGGCCCGGGCCCAGGTGCGATGACGTCAAAACCGTCATTTCCCCAGCAGCAGTTCTCACCAGG